TGTATTCCCACATTTCACACCTTGCATTCCCAGATCTCACAGCCCGCCTTCCTGCACCCCACGGGCCCTATTTTCCCAGTCCCTATTCCCAGTCCCCTTTATCCCCCATTCCCACGTTCCATGCCCGGCATTCCCAGCCCCTATTCCCATGCCCGGCTCTCACACCAGCCCAGCCCAGCCCAGCCCAGCCCAGCCCCTCCCTGCGGTCCCCCCCGCGCTGGGCGCGCCGTGGGGCCTGTCCCGGTCGGTATATCCCGGTTATCCCAGTGGATCCCGATCCATCCCGGTTATCCCGCTCGGTACCTGCCGGGCCTGTCGTGCCCCGGAACCCCCGCGCGTGGCGCCGGGATGGGGGGGGAGCGCACGGAGGGGCCGCGCCGGGCCCCGCCCCTCGAGGGGCGGCGGCCAATGGGAGCGCGCGGTGGGTGGCGCGCGCGCGGGGCGCCGGCCAATGGGAGCGCGCGGCGCCGCCGCCGTTACCGCCAGAGCGGCGCCGGGCGGGGCCGGGCCCGGCCGGGAGGAGGCAGCGACACCGGGAGCACCGGGACACACCGGGGGCGCTCCCGCCGCCGCCGCCTCCCCCCGCCCCTCGAGGATTTTCCCCGCTCTCCGCCTCCCTCTGGCCCCGCCGGGGTGAAGGGGGGGGCGGGCGCGGCCCCGGCGGCGGCCAATGGGGAGCGCGGGCGGAGGGGGCGGGGCTCCGCTGAAGGACGCGCTCCCATTGGCTGCGCGCGGCCCTGCCCGTGCCCTGGTCACGTGGGCGGCACGGAGGGGCCGCGTGACCCGAGCGGGTTAATTAACGATAATTAGCGGGGCTCGGGAGTCGAAGCGCGGCGGGAGGGGCTGGGGGCACCGCAAGGGTGGGGTCTGTGCCGCGGGGAGCGGGGGGGGGGTGTGCCCGGCCAGGAGCCGCCCCGGACCGGAGGGCGGGGCCAGGGGGAATGTCGGGAAAATTTCCGCGTGGAAAAGAGGGTTGGAATAACCTGTCCAGGGCGGGCTGGGATCCCCAGCACTGCCATGTGGCACCTGGGGACACGGCCGGGGTTGGAGTCGGTGATCCCCGAGGGCTTTTCCAGCCCCAGCCATTCCATGAGTCCAAAGGGTTCCCGAAGGACGCGGGCAATGAAACAACCCCGCGTGAACACCCGGTTAAATAAATCCGTGATTTACTGGGGACAGGGGATGGAGGGACAGCACACCGGGAATGGCTCCCGCCGCCAGAGGGCAGGGAGAGATGGGAGAGTGGGAAGGAATTCCTCTCCGGGAGGGTGGGGAGGGGCTGGGATGGAATTCCCAGAGAAACAGGACAGTGACCCAGGACCCATCTCCTCCATCCCAGATTCCTGGGATGCTGGTTCTCCCCGTCCATCCCACCGTGGGTGCTCCAGCACACCCCTCTCCACATCCCCGTGGCTCCAGGATCCCACTCTGCCATCCCACATCCCCATCCCATGTGCATCCCCCTGTTCCCAGCCCTGCTGGAGCCACTCCAGGCCCGGAGCCATCCCTGGGCAGGGCAGGGCAGGAGGGCCCTGGCTCAGAAGGTCTCCCGGGAGAAGCGGAAGCCGAAGCGCTCGCAGTGCCCCCGGATGACCTTGGCCAGGGCTGGGGAGCCACAGAAGAACACCTGGACCTTCCCCACCTGCTCCTGGGCCACCTTCCCAAACACCTGGAGCACAGGGGGAGAGGGAGGGCTGGCTGGATCCAGGGGATTGGGAGTCCTTCCCAACCCATTCCATGGCTTATGATCCCTGGGCCTGCTTAGGGCTTGGAACGAGATGATCTGTAAGGTCCTTCCCAACCCATTCCATGATTTATGATCCCTGGGCTGGATTAGGGGGTTGGAATGGGATGATCCTGGCTGCTCCTCCCACCCCAACCCATTCCATGATTTGTGACCCCGGGATGGGTCAGGGGATTGGAACGGGATGATCTTTAAGGTCCTTTCCA